AGGGAGAAGTCCCCCCCCCCCCGCTCTTGACCAGCGAGGGAGTCAGCAGGGAGTTGATAACACAGCATTTAGCATCCCTTTAAGAACACAAAAGCCTCTCTCATTAGTTCAAGCTCTTTTTAAACAACATTCTTCCAAGGAGGAAACAGAGGGACATTACCAGCTACCTGCTGGTTAGCTCTCAAAAGCCCTAAGTGGACACTGTCCTGTCTGCCTTTGTCCTGTCTTCCTCACACAGACACCTATCAGCATTAGCTAGCATACCACATGCTGGCTACGGTCAAGGGGGAAGGGGAGAATCCTGCTTCAGTGGCGAGTGGGTCAAGGGGAAGCCAAGTAGAAGGGCAGGGCCAGCCCTGCTATGGAGCAGACAGCCCAGCCCAGACCTGAAAAGCATCTGGGAGGCTGGGGGACTTCAGTTTAAGTTGAGCCAGGAAGGAAGATGCCTAATAGATGCAAATGTCAAAACAGTAATGTTATATTGACCGATAGCAAAAGAGTGTTATGCATTGCTTCATTTTCTCTCCCCCAACTTTGATTGTCTATGGAATTCTTACCTTGCTTTAGCTAGTGGGAAGAAACTGATAATTACATTTTTGTCAATTAAAAGCTAATCCTTCCAAGTTTGCTACTCATGCCCTCAAGTATTGTACAAGACTGAAGTTTTACAGTCTAGTGTCCATTTATTTTTGTGGTTCACACAACCAAAAAAAAAATCCATTGGTTGTAGGCAAAGAAAGTTGAGATTTGAGATACAATTTAAGTCTTTAGGTTACTTTATTAGGAAGTAATTAGTTCTGAAATAAGAGATGAAACTGGTTGACTTAAAGATGTAGAAATGTTATGGTTTCCTGCAGTTTTATTTGTCCATCTGAGATTTTCATAGTTTCATAGTTTTTGCATTATATTTTCCATTATTTCCTGCTGAAATTAGAAGTCAGACAAATTTAGAAGTCAACTGCACTTGAAACATGCCAGATTTGGGCTTGAAAAAGGGCTTTTTTCCCCAAAAATAAGAAATGTTTTATTTAAATTGGATTTTGATATGAGTTTTTTAAAATAAAATATTTTTTTAAAGTGAAATCTGAATTTAATTTAAAAATGTAGAGCCTAGCTATTAATAATCTCTTAAAATATTGAAATAAAAATAGTAAGTGTACAAGAAGCCAGGACCCACTATCAAAAGGTGGAGTTATGGACCACATGCTATTCTATGCTAAAAAAGAACTGGGGAGAAAAAAAATAACTTTTAAAGTCAAGCTTTATAAATATGGCACAAGAAGTCATGTACTGCATTACGATCTTGATCCTTGGGTTTGATCCAAGACTGTGCTGCTGCTATCCCCGACACTGTGACTTGGCTTCTGACTCGGAAAAAATAAATCAGGATTAAATTAGTTACTATCTTAACACAGCTGCTTGTTGCAAATAAATCAAGGAAGTACAAAGGGAAAATTAGTTAAAAATAGATTTTAAACTAAAAGTTCTTGGTCTGATTAAAATCTACCCACCTGGTACTTAGATAGCTTCCTGTTCTCTTGACCTATCAAGTTACAGAACGATCTTACAATAAATTTTAACAGAAGGAGAGCATAAACAGCCTCTGGTGCAGAACAAAACACCTCTGTACTTAGGGGATCATCCACATCACTAAGCTACAGGTCATGTGTCCTGCTGTTTACTCTTTTGCACCATGACTCTTCGATTACTTTCCACACCATGTTTTAGTGACAACAGGAAGGGGATGGGGAAACTGTCCCCATGCAAGCCCAGCCCATAGCCTGCTGCTTACGGCACTCAGCAGAAAAGAGAGATACATAGGCACACCCAGCCTATCACAGGTCTACAAGCCAAATCTTCTTCTACTTTCTGTGTGAATATCTGGACATTACACTATCACAAAGGTATGCACCACTATGACTTCATCCTCCTCCTGCAGCAGTTTTAAAAGAGTGAATCGGATGTCTACCCAAAGAAAACACTTGGGCACCTAAATCCAGGACAGGGGTAGGCAACAGGTGCCACAGCGTAGCATGCAAAGGCATTTTCTCTGGCATACATGCCTTGGCGGTGGATGGTAGAGTTCTGCAAAGCTTCAGTGGCTGATTCAATTCAGTGGAGATTCGGCCTGATTCGGTGCCCAAATCTCCGACTCCAAATTGAATCAGGAGACCCTTTAATCTCTCTGAATCGAACTGGAACCCTCTGAATCAATTCAGAGAGATTCGGAAAGATTAGATGATTTGGACAGACACAGCTTTAAATGTTTTTTCTATATACCTCAAGGTACCAAGCAGCTCGTGAACGCCGAGATGCTGGGGCAGATGGAGTGTCCCACAGAAGTACTTCTGGGTCTGCCGGGGAGCGCACTGGGCCCCCACCTCCAGCTTGGTGACTGGTGCCTCCTAGATCTGGGGGGTGGGGAGGAGGCACCCCGGGTCCCCCTGCAGCAGATTGTTGATCCAGAGGGGTGTGGGAGGGCCCCTGGCAGGCTCGGTGGCAGGCCTGGAAGTGGACCCGAAGTACTTCTAGTCCACTTTTGGGTTAAACGCTGAACACATGGGTAGCCCCCTTGTGCTCCTGTGGGATGCTCCATCCACCCCACCATCACAGCATTCATGAGCTATGCCTGATACCTCGAGGTATGTAGAAAAGACATTTAAAACTGTGTCTACGGTCGAATTCACTGATTCTCTGAATCAGCATCGAATCTTTAGATTCAGATTAGGCTGAATCAAAATTGGGGACAGCAAACTGAATCAATGAATCGAATCACACCCCTAGCTGATGGTGGGGAAGGGGCTAGGGCTGCACTGCCACAAACAGGGATCAGGCCCTTTGCAGCTACCCTGCCATTCACCCCCGGCACACTAACTTCTTACAAATTGAGATTACAGGTGTTTTTTGCATTCTTCCCAAAAACATTGCTGACCTCTGATCCAGGAGGTATCTCCATATGCGAGTCCTAGGTCTCATGCAAGCACAGGAAAGGAGGGCTGAGATATTGGTCACAACCTTCTCCCTGGCATTTCCTATTGCCTAGTTTAGGCCTTCCCCCAACTCAGCATGCTGTCTGCTGTGAATCCCATTCCTAGGTGCTTAACTCCTGCCCCAGTCATTATATAAGGAACCAAGCACCTAGCTCAGGTTAGCAAAATCCACTTTGGGAGCTGGGTGCCTAGTGTAGTGGAACTCAGTGTCAGCTTGCCAAGAGTTCCTCTGTTGATGTGGACACAGAATTTGTCACTCTTTACCTGAGAGGGTGCCAATTACATGCATCAAAAACTAGCCTGTGTACTCAAAAGCAAGACAAATCTCAAAGTACAAAAAAAGGAGCAAGACAACCATGTTAAATAATACCAAGATATGCTGATTAGTGCACTGCAGCAATAGTGAGTGTGAATATGCAACTCTATATATAGCTGCAAGTCTTGTAATGAGTACTGAGAAGACTCTGCATCACTTACTGAATGAATAATTACTCTTTATGACATGCTAACAAAAATAATTCCATAACTGTTTGCATTCTGCACCAATTGACAAAGTTTAAGGATAGACCAAGAGCAAAACAAATACCGTATTTTCCTGACAACCTAAAATATAATACATACTTTGTTTTTGAAAGACAGAATGAAGAATTTTTTCAGAGTTATGGTTGCGCAGGGTAGGGACAGAGCCTAATCTTCAACTGGCTCACTCTCCCTTTCCTGCGTAACTAAAACTGTATCTCTAGCTGCCGGTGAAGACTGGTCTTAATGGGCGAGTCTATAATTTTCAAAAAAAACTAGAGTCTGTACTGAACAGCTAGGAAGTCTGTCCTAAATATATTTAAACTAGCAGTGTAGGGGGGAACTTGGTGCTCCTGCTACTTTAAGGAAAGGCAATCTTGCAGGAGAAGCAGGTGGCCGGTGAATCAGAGAGCAAATCAAGGGAGCTAAATGACCTGAAAGGAACTGGTTTTGCAGTATGTAAATCCAGGGTCTGAGCTGCGCATGCAGTCTGACCAAGTACCCATGGAGAGAGGAGCTCCTGAACAGAAGGGCTGCGCTAAGACTCCTAACTAACACTTAAGCTGGGGTAGGCAAAACTGGTGGTTTAGGGATTAAGACACGAGGAGCAAGAACTAGGGTCAGGGACCAACAGCCCACAAGTGGTGAGAACAAACAGGGTTTGGGGGCCATAGCCTGGGAGGGGCAGAGTCTGATGGAGATAATCTGGCCTTACTCCAGGAGAGGCAAAGGATAGAAGCCAGAAGCAGCTCTCAGATAGCAAAACTAACCTAAGAAGGGTTAACTTGATTAGTGGAACATCATAATCATTACAAAGGGAGATTGTACAGTGAAGAACAGTGAGCCACTGCATCAACCGACTCCCTCAGCTATCTGAACAGTAATACATTTTGGTAGTGCTGGAGTGATGCTTAGCTGTGATGGTCCAGGAATTATGCAAGAGGCAAGGATGTTTGTGAGCAATATCTTTATTAGACCAACTGTACAGTTGGGATAGACTTAGACAAGCTTTCCACTGCAAAGCATTCTTCACCAGGTCTGCTTAATGATGAATGCTTCTCATTTGAAAGCTTGTTGAAGTCTATCCTAGCCAGACAGTAGGTCCAACAAAAGATATCACCCACAAAATTCCTTGCCTCTGAACAGTAATACTTCAGCTTCTACACTGTAGAGCAGGAATCAAACCAGGGTGCTTCCAACCCTGGGCAGAAAGATCAGTTTCCCTGCTTAATACATGCAACCCATTTTGGGGGGACTGATTTTCAAAGAAGAGGCAAGTGTTGTATGAAAGCATAGTCTGAACTAAGACTATACTTTTAAGGCTTCCCAAATTCCCATTCATAGTAGATATTTTATGTATGAAAGCACTAAGCAGAGCTGAGAGGAGAACAAAATTATTTACCTGTAAGTTAATCCTTTGACAAGCTTACTTCCAAGAAGATTTTGGATAGTTAATCTGGTTTCTTCCAGTAGACTTTTAGCAGCCGAATCTCCAACAGCAATAGCAACGATGCGACCAGGATCTTGGCCTTTTAAGAAGTCCTGAAATCTCTTGCTTTCATTTTGATATTCATGAGTGTCAAATCTATCCACTGCCAACACTTGTGCTGTGTCCTGATCAATCACTCTCACATTTAGCCCTCGTAAAAATTTCCTTTCAAATGCATAAGGACCAGAGGCCAGCCCTGAGGAGTATACAGTCTTTGACAAAAGAGTCCATGATAACTTCTGAGTCCCATGCAATTCCAGTGTCCCTTCAGGGCCGACACCAATAAATTTTTTGCCAAATATTGGCATGTCGTCACCTTCATCTGATTTGCCATACAAGATGATAGTTGCTTTGGATTTATAGCGACACTTCTCTGCTCCAATATGAAGCGCTCCACCATCCTTTATCAGGATAAAACGAGTTCTCAAAGTAATATTTCTGGAACCATCCTTATCATCACCAAAGACAAGTAAACCTAGAGGAAATAATATTTTTTTAAAATCACATATAAAAAAACCAATCAATCTTTTAAAAACTGATTCTACTTTAAAGCACACAAGCCAAACCCTAAAATAAAATCAAGTTAAGCAAGTTATTAAAAAGAGAAATGAAATTGTTTCCAAATGAGTTTACAGATAGAAAAATGGATTTTTACAGGATATCACATATGGAAGGAACTTCCAGAATACCTGCACCTTGAAAAATTGTCTTCAAGTTTTATGAAATATTGTAATTAACAATCAGTTTCACTAATCTAAGTATCTGAACAAAAAGGACTTCACCACTGATTCCACCCATCTGATTCTGTTCTTAGATGCTTACTACTCAGTCTTGGTCTTCCAGGCTTCTACACAGCATCAAGCAGCTGTCCCACTGAAGAATAAGTAGCATTATACATCTGTTTACATATTGAGACCTTGGGGCCAGCAGTAAGTAATGTAGTAGCAGTAAAGAATGCAGTCACCGATTGAGTGATGACAGAAACACACCAATGACTGCAACATAAAGACAATTACGGAGATTGAAATATGGCAAGACTAACTACAAAACTGATTTAAAATTTAAAAAGACAGACATACTAATGCTTGGGGGCCGAAATAGGGAAGGAAGAGATGAAGGAACAGATTCCTGGGAATTAAAATCACTATTACATTTTTCTGGTTTCTGAGGATAAATGGGAGTTCTAGGTTTCATTACTCAATCTATTTATCAGGATTACTTACCACTATAATAGTTCTATTACCACATTTATTTCTACTACCTTAAGTCTATGGTGCTATGCTGCCTATTGTATGCAGACTTCACGTGGTGCTTATTACTCTTCAGAACAAAGCATAAAGCTTTGCAGCATTTACCATGCTATACAGAAAGCATATTTACTGTAGACATGTAAAAATATGCTTCAGCAAATACTGTGCAAACAGGACTGTCCTGAATTAAGACTACTTCTCAAATAAATTGCATTTTCTTGAAGGTGGCCATTTTCACAACGAAACCCAAACGTTTAACACTGCATGCTTCCATGGCAAAAATTGTCACATTAAAGTACAATTTTGAAATTTTTTCAACAGCAGGTTTCACTCAAATAGAATCATGCACTTACAGAGTCCTTTCCCTGCCCCAAGCAAATAACCATATTTTAAATTTTCTTTAATAAAATTCAATAATCTTCAAATCAAAAATTGAATTCAAAGTTCTTACAAGTAACACATTCACATTTCATTGCATATTTTCTGAATGTTTACTACTAATGTAGAAGGGTAAGCATCCTAGTAGTACTCAAGTGGGGGAAAGGAAATAGCTATACATCAATAAAGGCTTCTATATGCCAATTGTCTTCCTCACCTCTGTCCCATTTTCAGCTAGTGTTGGCACACTCACATACACATGTCAAATATACCTTGACCAAAAGGTATTTTAACACATAAAAACAGTTCGTGGCTTACTTTGCTGCTACATACCTCCATCCTGTATAATTATAGAGTGTACTGTAGCATCTGAATTCAGACGAAACAAGTCCCCACTTTTTATGAGAACTCTCTTCTCAGTATCTTGGCCAGGGTTCCAGTTGCTGAGACGAGGGTTCTGATCTGGACAATTCTCTATAATACAATATGCAGCCTAATTAAAAAAATGGCCTAAAATATTAAGACAACATTGGTGTATATGGCATTACTCAGTTAGAAGCACATTAAGGGTAGTGTCAGAAAGACAAGTCAGGGATTTGCTTCCTCCACAATAACAAGAGGAAATCACAACTCATATGATCCATTTCCTGTAAATAAGAAGGACTATGACCATTAGTGAGGAATTACCTTGTTTCTTTTTGTTGTCTTCTGGAAAACATTTCAGCTACTAGCACCAACATTCAAACTTATGCAGCAAAGCCAAGGACAGGTTGACCAAGCTTCAGTTGAAGAAATATATCCTTGCTCTTAAACCACTTAGTGCAACGACAACATCATAAAGGGACTAAACATTTAGGTATTAGGGCAACAAATCTATATAAGCTAACATTACAGAACTGTAGCACTCACTACATTCAGAAGTAGTAGAAGTAGTTTATTTACTGCTTTTGCTGAGACAATAAAATAAAACAAGTAAAATGATATAATTTATGGCTTTCACCAAAAGCATACAATAAAACTGCACATTTTGTATCATCATAGAACATATTCTATGACGATAGAAAACAAAAAGGTAAAAGGAAGTAAGGGACAACAGTGAAATAAAACAGAACCATCTGATTTTGGTCCTTATTCTTTAGTCTAGTAATGCAAACAGGGCAGGCTGCAAGTTTTCAGAGAAGCCTTTTTTCTACCCCCATCAGCCCAATATTTAAAATTTTCAAGTAACGGAAAGATCCATTTTCCTCTTATTTCTTCAAAGAATAAAGACCACAAATAGTTATTTAAGTTACCTACAGTAGTATTAAAATGATGTTGTAGCTGTGAAGTTCCAGGAATTATGGGAGAGGAAAAGATTTTTTGAGGTGGTATCTTTTATTGGACCAATTCATTACTTTAAATAAAGTTAGATCGATAAAATTTGACATACTTTTGAGTGCGTCTCTGTGAGCAGGGGTGCTCTTTTGCCCCATGTCAAGCTGAATTCTATTGACTCTTGCCTCTTCCTCCTACTCACCTGCCATGCTTTGATGGAAAATTGATATTCAGGAGGATGGATGTTCCTTGATTTACAAGTCAATCCAGTATGGTTGTGGGTCTTCTGCAGGGCTTCACTTCTCCTACACACTGCCCCTTGCCTCTCCAGCTGATGATAACTATTCTCCACTGACAGTGACTGGGGAATACCCTGCAAGGTCACTTCTCAGGCTCTTATCCAGTTCTTTCCCCATAGCATCTGGATTTGTGTTCACTGGCCTAAACTCTCTGTGCCTCCAATAGGCAGGTCACATAAGAGTCAATTCAATTAGTACATTTAAGTTTCTTCCAGGCCTTGTCTCAGGCTTCACTGCCTTAATCTCTTGGCAATCTCTTGGCTCGGGCCCTAAGAGCCAGGCAGTGTTCAGGTAAACTACAAAGCAAATCTTTGGGGAATTCTCCCCCATCCTGGTACCCTTCTCTAGTCCTCAGAAAATAACTCAGAAGGAGGGCTTCTTCTTCCTGGCCCAATTCCTTCTTTTCTTTCATGACACAAACTAAAGGGGAATCACTTGAATTTCTTGTCACTTCTCAAAGACCCTCTAGCCCACAGCCGCCTAGCTTATGCCTGGTTTCTTTCATCACCAGCATGCCTCCTTGGTTCTGGCTGTCTCAGTTTCCTTCTCAGGCCCTCACTCCTACCAGAAGACCTGTTCTCTCTTGCTCCCCCTTACCTTCCTGGATGGCCTTCCCCACCATTAACTGCCCGTTGGGACCCTACCCTACAGTGCAAAGTCCCATATCATCCCTCTTTCTGCATTTTACTTATCTTTAGGAAGGCAGGGAAGTGATCTTTTGCTCGTGGCTCATCTTAGTCCTTACAGGAGGGTCTGGCATGCAGGGACTGTTTCTTCTTGGATGCACCCTGCTAGGAGCTTCCCATGCTGTTTTCCCCACAGAGGGACACTGACTGTCAACCTCTCTTTGGCATACTCTTTTAAGCTGCCCAGCTCTCTCTTCAGGCTTCCTAGAGCATATATCTTCCTGCTCCCGGAGTCTGCCTGCTGCCCTGTTTATACTCGGGCTTCTTTTCCCACACACTGGGGATGCATCGCTTGCCTGGACCTGTCCCAGTAAGTTCCCCCTGAATCTGTCCAGTCCCACAGGAGTGTACCAGGGGCTTGGATATGGCCCCTGCTACAATCTCATTCTTTCCACAAGAACATATCCTAGCTTAACATGGGGTCTACCTGGCCATGACAGCTGCAGATGTCAGAGTGAACTGTAGTTTTTTTTACTGGCGCCTCAACTGTAGTTTTGTACTGCAGATGGGTTTCTATGCCAAACACTACATTCAAGAATTTGGTTAAATTTTAACTAGCTGTCTACTGCAGTGGCAGAGATCAATTTACATGTACATTCTATAGAGAGAAGTTGTAGACACATTTCAAGAAATGCAAATAGCTGGAAGGAGTTCTTTAAAAAAACAGAATAGATGACAAGACTAAAGGGCCAGCACCCAACCATTGTTCTAATGCTGGAACTGGCTTAACTCCACATCAACAGGAATTCATACACAGCCAGCTCCTTTCCCTGGGAAAGGATCTACCAGCAGAGACAATCCAGTGTCAGAGTTCAAGATAAGAAGTGTAGGTACAGTAAATGCTAAGTAGGCTTATCTAAGGAAAACAGGCTTGCCATCTTACAACACGAGGCTATCTATTCATTTAAATTGCTGACCAAAACACTGAAATTTCTTTAACAATGCAAGCTCATTTCAAGAGTCTTCTATTAAATGAATTTATAATAATCACACAAATTTTTACATAAGCCAAAGTTTTACTAATAGTACAAAGATGAACAGACCTACATATATAGATGGTATGAACATCTGGCCAGAAGACCAGTATGGGATAATACAAAATCCACAGTATGAAGGAAGGAAGCAGACAATTATGTAGGACAACCTAAAAGAGTAGATAATAAGTAAATGATGATATAAACCCTCAACAAATGGGGTGGGGGATGGAGGGGATGAGAAACAGGAAGTATTTCCTCCATAATGATGTCTGCAAGTCTTCTGAGAACTCACTAAAGGAAATGGATGTCCCATTGCTTAAACTGTCCAGAATTCAAACTTTCATAAATTACGTAGATTGCACACTCCCTGAACAATGGCAAAGGCAAACATACATGCTGACATAATGAGTCAGTAACTTTATGGTAACTTGTATGAATCACAGAAGTGAGTGATAAAAAGAGACCTAGTAACTGCATCTGTACCTAGTAACTGCATCTGTATCTCGGCTGCAGAGACAGGAAGGCAAAATAGGATGGAAATTGTAAAATAAAAAGCTTTAGGATTACAATAAATTTAACTTTGAACTAGAGGCACAAAATTTAGTTCCTCTCTAAGATCATTATGTTTTATATTATTAAGTATAAGTCAGTTCTGTGACAAGTCAGTTAGACTGTCCCACAATAAAAAGTTCAATGACACTTTCTTAATAATTATACTGAGGTAGAGAGAGGCACCAAACATTTAATACTGGGCCACATTATCTTATAAAAATATCACCAGTTATATTTTACAAAGTATTACAGGTAAAGCTGGCAGCAGCACCTCCTACAGTTAAGGCTGCCTAATGCTTTCCATGGCATATTTGCTTTCAGTTGCATGCAACTGTCAAACTTTAACCATTCAATCTGAAAGCTGTCTATGCTGAGTGCCTGCCTGAAGAAAAACGGTTCAGCTGTTTTTAAAGGACAGGGTTAGGGGAAAAATAATGTTACTTTGGAAGTATTAAAAAAAAGCGCACACTCTCAAATCTGACAGACACTTCATTGAGAAGCTCTAGCACCTCCATGTTGGGGAGCAAAGGCTTAAAAATCAGCAGCAGTAAAAGGGGATACTTGCTGGCCTGTACTCATCAACAGAAACATTTTACTTTCCCTCCTGTAGAGCTATTAAATTTAGAAGGCGTATCCTGTTGAAATATGGTAAGTAGGACTTAGCATTTTGCAGCTAGAGTCTCTGAAGAGCTTGTCTGCCTTCAGCATATACTAGCTCAGGGCTGCAAGGGCCAAGCAAAACATAGTCCACAACTCATAGATGTTAGGATCGGAAGGGACCTCAATAGGTCATTGAGTCCGACCCCCTGCAAAGACAGGAAAGAGTGTGGGGTTCATATGACCCCAGCCAGATGCCCATCCAACCTCCTCTTGAAGACCCCCAGTGTAGGGTAGAGCACCACCTCCCTTGGGAGTCCATTCCAGACCTTGGCCACTCTAACTGTGAAGAAGTTCCTCCTAATGTCCAGTCTAAATCTGCTCTCTGCTAATTTAAGGCCATTATTTCTTGTGACTGCCAGCGGCGCCTTGGTGAGTAGAGCCTCACCAATTTCCTTCTGTGCCCCCATGATGAATTTATAGGCAGCCACAAGGTTGCCTCTCAACCTTCTCTTGCAGAGCCTGAAGAGGTCCAGGTGCCCTAGTCTCTCCTCGTAGGACTTGGCCTGCAAGCCCTTAACCATACGAGCGGTCCTTCTCTGGACCCTCTCCAGGTTATCCACATCCCTCTTGAAGTGTGGCGCCCAAAACTGCATGCAGTACTCCAACTGCGGTCTGACCAGTGCCCGATAGAGGGGAAGTATCACCTCCTTGGTTCCGTTTGTCACGCATCTGCTCCTGTTGATCAGGGGCCGCCGTGGCACGAAGTGGCATGGTACTGAGAGTAGGGGAACCACCTTTCCCGTGTTCTGTGGTGACCCAGACCTCAAGGGGAAAAGGGAAAAGTCAGGTGTCTCACTCCCTGTGTTCTAGTTTGAAAGAGAACAGGTGCAGAGTGTGACAAGGAGGAGGGTAAGACCAGAGATGATACACACAGAATGGGAGGAGTGCAGAGGACAAGGGTTTTTACATACCGTACACCCCCTTCTAGTACCTGGAACAGAACACAAGATAGAGTGGAGCAAAGCTTCCTAAGTCTCATTTATGCTGCCCAATAAAATTGCTGTGAAAATTACTGGTAAAAAATCAGTCTCATTACCATCTAGTAGTTCAGACAGAGGATACCAATCTACTGCTGCCACCATTTACAATCACAGGCAGTGCATCTACAAGAGATGCTTACTGTGCAGTTGACTAATTAGCTGCACAGTAAATATCTCAGTGTGTACATGTACCCATATTAGGCTGAATTACACTAATTTACTCCTCAGCAGGGTAGTACTTGTAAATACAAGTGTAAGTGTGGAGTTTTTTTGTGTGCTGCAATGTACATGTAGATGCTTCCCACCTGGCTATGGCATGAGGGTGCTTCAGTGCAGAAGCTAGCCCCACACTGAAGCTCCCTTGTGCCCAAGTCACCCCCTTGTCCCCCACCACAGCACACTGAGCCAGGGGGGGAAGCATTCCTGGGCTGGCAGGCTGAACCCTGAGGCTGACTCCACATGCTGTGCATGAATAAACTGCAGAGCTTATTGCTC